TGCTGTGGATGGAGCTGTGCTACACTTTGGAATCCTGGGGACAGATTCCTCAGGTATATCTGTGCCCCCAGTGTGTCTTACTGGCAGGCAGGCGGGGAGCGTGCTCCCACCAGGGCTCTTTACCTGGTCTCACACCCAGTGATTTCAGTGTGCTTCCAATGTGGTTTACTGGTAGGCGGGGGGTGAGAACTAGGCCTGCCGGGGCTCTTTACCAGCCTATTACCCAGTGATTTCAGTATCTTGGTTAGCAGCAGCTCTCTCCTCTGCAGCATCCCACCTTCATCGCCACTATTGTGTAATGGGCCTCAGTAGGCAAGGAGCAATCCAGCATAGTTACAATGTTATTTATTGACTCAAACTAGAACTGGAGAACTGGAGGCAATTGCCTGTAATTTATACTCTGAGCCCACAGGGCCTTAACCAATCACAATACTTGGAAAAAAACCCCAAATATGAATGTTCAAAGTTTCCATCCAAAACAGTTGAAGTTAACAGTCAGGGTCATCTAAAGGTTAGTTTCATTTTAGCTTCATAAGCAGTTGGAGTTAAGTTAGTTTCACTTTAGCAGGGATTAACACAACTTTATATATATTCAATACATAACACCCCTTTCTCCTAGGATAGTTATCAACCTCAGTCTGTTCAATATTCATAGTCTTTGAGATAGGCCGGGGGCCCACGGATCCTGGTGGACCGCCGCAATGTTATTGGAGAGTCCTGTTCAAGTGGAGTATTGTCCATCTCCAATTGAACAGAGTCGTGATGGCCGTTTAGGTCACCTGTGAGTGGCGGCGGCTCTACGGCCATTCGTACCTCCATTTTCCTGGAGGCGGCCACAGATGATGTAGGCAAACTCGGAGGAAAACAGTTCTCTTGTGTGTCTGATAAAATCTCGAGTTCCTCACCCGGGACAGTCAGGGTCATCTAAAGGTTAGTTTCATTTTTGCTTCACAAGCAGTTGGAGTTAAGTTAGTTTCACTTTAGCAGGGATTATCACAACTTTATATATATTCAATACATAACAGGTAAGGCCTGCCTGTACCAGGTGGGAGAGGTGGTTCAGTGTATCTGCTGTCATATTTCAAATCTTACTTATTCTTTTGCAGTGCTTCTCATATGGAATTGTTATCCTTTTCTTCCTTCTAGTGAACAATTGCACGTTTCATTTCTCTGTATTCAATTTTTATGATCAGATAATTCCCAAAACTCAGGTTAAGATACTGTCTTTACATTAACAGAACAATAATATTTATACTTTTGAAATAAACATGTGCAAAGAGGCATAATAAGGAAGAAGTGAAACTGGAGGGAAATTTGCCTTGAATATGGTTTGAATCAACCAAATAATCTAACCCATTAAAATAAGTGAAGTTCAGTCATGACAATCATGATTGCATATCATACCGAACAAAATAATTCAAGAGCCCTTGTCCTCAGTTAACATCCTTTTGTTCAGTAACCATTCAAACTTGTGACAGTGTTGAATGATGAAATTTCAAAGTTCTCACCATTGCAGAATCCCTCCAGTTATACGATTATGATTTGGACACTCGACCCTTAACTGCAGTTACATGATTCCTGATGGTTCCCTGCTGGCTTCCCACAAGCAAAGTCAATGGGGAAGCTGGCAGGAAGTTAATGATAGCAACTAGGACTACCATTGCTAAGTAGCAAGGTCACATGAAGTTGCACCCCATCACCTAGTGACAGCAATTCCAGTCCCAATTGCCATCATAAACTAAGGACAACCTGTATAAGGAGTGGGAAAACCTCCCAATAAGATCTGTTTGTGTAATTAATGTAAATAATTGATGCTCACTGAAAAGAACCACAACTAAAAACAAGGTGTTCTCTCTCACACATGACTTGGGTTGGCAATTACTTTTTAAATTAAACCAAATCCCTCAAGATCTCATGATGGCTGCTAATCTCCTACTCAAGACTGTAGGAGGTATCACATGAGAATACTAGAATCATAAGTGATCCTGTACAAGGATAACCAAACATGTCATTAAAAAAATATTTCATTATTTTAAAACAACTGTATAAGTTTTATGGGTTTCAGCAGTGAGGACCTTCTGTTGAATCCTTCTACTTCCATCTTTGCTACATAAAAAGTGCTAGGCAAACCAGAATAAAGAGTGCTTGTATACTTACTGTCTGTAGCTGACCATAACTATTAAAATAGCAGGCATGCAGCAAAGAATGATGATGACAGCCAGAGCCAGCAAAGCTCCTTCTGTGTAGCCCACAGCTTGTGCCTGCTTTTTGACATTGGCCACCACATCTGGTGTTCTTATTTCCAAAATACGTCCTCCTTGCCCGAGGTATGGTTGAAATTCTTTATTGATATCCAGAAGCTTACCATCCAAGAATCTTCAATGTTAAGAGAACAAAGCAAGAGAAAACAGTAAGATCAAGATCAAGATCTATTCTTTTTTAAAGGCTCAATCGATATTAAAAGTTATTAATAGTCTTCTCCTCCCCCTTCCAGCTTTTTATTTCTCCACCATGGTTCCTCTTGTCCTCTCTGTGCTTTCTTTGATCTGATTTTCATTCTAATTGATTGACAGCAGTAGAGTTGTTTACAGCATGCCATCTGTGATGATAGACACAGCTTCATAACAAAAGCATGCTGGTCATCTCAAACAGCAGTGAAGATGATGGGTAATTTTTAAAAACCAGGAACAATAGAACAAAAGAGTATAAAATAGTCCTGGAACAAATCTATTGGAATTAGATTGTTGAAAATGTGCAAAGCGATTATATTGCTTTAGAGCAAAATTGCTCCAACTGTTCAGAGACAAGGTTACCAATCACGAATATCATAAAAAGAGCTAAACTGGTGTACTGTTGCAATTAGGCTCTATATTACATAAGTCAAAGTAAGTAATGTCAATTAAACTGACCAATTCAGGTGTAATGAAAAGTGAAAAACCTTCTCTTACATAATGCTTGCATGTACTGAATGCCATTTATACTAATTAAGAAAGTAAAATGTCCTTCAGGGAGTTGTAATACTGGGATTTCTGTGTCTTTTATTTTAAATCGTATGCTTCTCTTAACTCACACTTAACCTATTTTGGAAAACTTTGGCAAAAGGTTTAAATTTTTTTAAATGTGATTTGCACTCTTAGGCAATAATAGTTTGGATAAAGAATGGCTTGCTTAAAATCAGAAAGCACAGGAAGATGTGAATGAAAAGAAAATATGGAAATTCAAATCTCACTCACATTCTATCTAACCTTTTCAATGTTAAGGTGTTGCCCGGTCTTTGCAAGGTACAGCACATCGTGCTATTTTTAGTCTTATTTTTACTGAAATTTTACAGAATTTTTTCAAAATTTTACAGAACTTTTGTTGGAAACATTAAATGTGTGTTCACTGAATAGGTTTTACTGATTTCAGCTAAGGCTATTTTCTGAGTAAAGGTGATTTGGTATGGATGCAGGCGATAGAATATTTTCCTCAAGATGGCAGCCACAACACATACAAAATCTGCTTCAGTCATGTAATTGCAGACCCTGCATGGACAATTTCACATCTTTAGGAGACCAGAAAACACTGTGGTGTAATCACTGAGTTTTCATTGGGATGTTTTGTAATTGAAAAGTAAGCTATAGTACAGGACAGGTAGTCCTTGATTTACAGCTATAACTGAGTCTGACAATTACAGATGTAAGCTATAATGGTCACAAAATAGGCCATCATTTGACCAAACTCATTTTTAACATTTTTTTTGTGGTGGTACTTAAGTAAATCAGCATAGTTAAGTAACCCGATTGTTTGCTATGGGCTATTTTTTTGCTGGAAACGAAAATAAATACCACTTTCTGGTAAAACCATTGTAAATTGTCACATGACCATGGGGTACTACAAAGTAGCAAAGGTCTATAAAATTGGGCTGGTTGCGGAATGCCCAAATGCAGTCATGAGAATGGATGGAGGCTGACACCAGACGTTTGAAAGTGGGTCATAAGTAGTTTATTGGGGGTTCCCTTGTAATTTCAGATATGGCTGATTGTAAGTCAAGGACTACCTACAATATATAATCTTGAAAAACTTTATGGTTATTTTTTTTTAAAAAAATCATATGATGTGGTAGTAGTGGGAATGAACCCCAGTGTCAAATGGCTTTGATATTAATTACTGTGCAAGGAAGTTTAAAAAAAAATGGAGAAAATATAGAGAAATCAAGAACCTTCTTGGATGTGAAGCGAAACATCTTCAAGGAAAAATAAACTCCAATTACCTTTTGAAAAAGCATTTTTGGGACAACCATGACCTTAATTACGGAGAATCTCCATAGACACTGAGAAAATATATCTTACATTATACCAGGGGTAGTCAACCTTGGCTCTTTTATGACTCGTGGACTCCAGCTGGCTCAGGAATTCTGGGAGTTGAAGTCCACGAGTCATAAAAGAGCCAAGGTTGACTACCCCTGCATTATACAGTGTCTTGTCACAAATCTTTGCTTTGTCTTGTTTTGAAGAAAGATTTTCATATTTGTTTAAAGTCTAGGAATAGTTATATAACAAAAGGCATTTTATTATTCCCATATTCTCCTTTCTGTCAAGACACCATTCCTTGAAAACAAGTCTAGGAGTCAGAACTTCCTGAGGGACATAGAAAAAGTAGCTGAAAAATTTCTTTGTTTTTCCAGAGCATAATGCTATTCTTTGGAAATTATCCTGCAACTGTACAATGGGGCAAAAGGGTGACTGAGACACTTTCAAGGCTTCTCCTCGCAGGATTAAATAAAGGAAAATCCCAGCTGGAGTTAACTTTTGAAATCTGGAAATATATCCGAACTTATAGGAACCAAACTGCTGGAGATTCCCTGCCAAACCTGTATGCTAATGTTTCAGATTAAAACTTTATCTTTATTTCTTTTCTTCATTTTGCTAAACTGACTCTTCTTTACCTCTGCCACAAGGCCAAGAAAGTATTCCCTAGCCTTTTAACATTATACATTTTTGAAAAAGTTAGAAAAGGAAAAATAAGGCTGGTTGTGCAAGCTAAAGAAATATATAATTAGGTTGCCTCTAAGCCTGTGTTAATTAGTAGGCACTCTTTTTTTTAAAGACTTTTCTTTGTTTTTCATATTTTCATCTTCTTTAGTTCCAAGAATGTAGATTAAATAAAGATTCAGTAATTCAAAGTGATATTTGAATATTTGAATTTTAAAATTGATATTTGAATATTCTATTCTATTCTATTCTATTCTATTCTATTCTATATTTTTTTATATTTTAGTCCAGTACAGAAGAAAAAAATCAGTCTATTTTCTAATATACTATATTTAAAAAATAGATATTAAAGAAATGTTAAATGAATGAGGGCCATAATGGTTTGTTGTTATAAGTATTAGCTCCTCACTACTTTAATTCTCCTTTTTCTGCTTAGCCTTTTATTTATTTATTTGCATTACATTTTTTTTGACTAAAGATAGATATTGTCTCATATTATTATTGGACTGGAGAAACAGATTGTAACCACAACAAATAAACATATAGTTTATTTTTGCTATTTGACTGTCAGTCCCATGAATTCTTATTTATTTAAATAATGTCATGTTTTAAAATATTCCGTTAACAAAAGTATTTCATTCCACAAAAAAATCATATCAATTAATGTATGTATTTTTCCTTCACTTCTTAGAATCACTTCTTTCCAGATATTAGAGGTCCTCCACCCTAAAATTCATAATAAAATGCACATGTTTGAACTTCAAAATTTTAACCATTCTGCCAATATTACTGTAATATTGTCCTTCTTGTTTTCTAAGAAATAATGTAAACAAGGTCTTTGGAAATATGGAACGATTTTTAAATGTTTCTGTGTATAAATATACCATTTTTCTACTTATGTTATTTCAACAGAAGATGGCCTAGAATGCTAGAAATTCTAATTTCCTTTTCAACATGAAAGACTAGACTGCCTTCATCCTTGGTTTTACTTCTTTTTGTATGTATGCTAAGTGAAACCAAATATTAAGGCAAGTCACTAGTACCATATATCAGAGGTCCCCAACCTTTTGGGCACTAAGGACTGGTTCCGTGGAGAAAGTTTTTTCCGCGGACCGGAGAGTACATCGTTTTGTGTGCTGCCTGCATCCCACGGATGGGGCTTTGCTTGTTTGTGTGGACCAATTGCTGGCATGCTGCAGCCCAGTACCAGTCCACGGACTGGGGGTTGGGGACCCCTGCCATATATAAACTGAGACCATCTGTCAGAATCCAATTATATTTCATCTCTAGTTATCAACTATGGAAAACCCCATTTCTGCCCTCTCTGGATTCTGTCATACGATGAAGGGGAAGGGGGGGTGAACAAAGGGGTTTTATGGCCCTCATTTCCTTTGGTACAACTTCAAAGGGACTGAATGTGGATACCACCAAAAGGACTAATCATAACAATGGGGCCATCAGTTTTCATCTACTCCCCTCTGAAGTCTCCCTTCCACCGGCAGTGAGGAAAAAGGGGGTGGAAATGTAACGCCTGGGATTGTCGCTGGAAGGATGGTGGGGTGGGGTGGGGCTGCTGGGGACCCCTTAAAACCTTGAACCATAGGGCTTGGATCCCAAGTCCTGTCTAGAATGCCTGCAACCATTTTCTCTTAATAAAGATGCCTGTTGGAAGAAATATTCCAAGAGTTCTGTCTTCTTAAGATGCAAAGTGGGGTGGGTCCTTACATTAGACAGGACCTGCAGAATTAGTCCACCTGGAAGGGAGAACCTTGCTGGGGGACTTTGCAAAAATTACCATGTGAGACGATGGAGCAGGGAAGGGAGAAAACTCCCCGGGAAGGGAGCCGCTGCCCCGACTGAAAGCCTGCCAGATGTCGGGATCTGAGAGGTCAGATTCCTCAGGAGAAGAGGTGGTGGAGACACGGGACCACAAACCTCGGTGGTCAATGGGTGTTGGAAAGAAAGCTGAGTGGGAAAAGAAATCAAGAAAGGTGACCCTGAGATGGGGGGCCAACCACCCCAGATGGAGAAATCCCTGCACGCAAGTGAAGAGGAAGAGAGCTGGGCACTGTACTCGGGCTGGATCCTAGAGAAAGCTATCGACCTGATGAAGAGAACTCTCAGCTCCCTAGGAGAGGAGAATTCTGAGCCCTACAGCCACCCCAGCTCCTGGAGCTGCAAAGGGAGAGACACCGAGGGGGAAGTGGAACCTGCAGCCCTGGGGACATCTGCTGATCCAGTAGTCCCCACTCCCCACCGACCTGCAAATGGCGATCTGGATGGAAGACACTACCACCGACAACGAAGGCACCGATCCATTCAAAGACTCCTGCCGCTGGATGTGAGATTCAAGGGGGAGCCGACACGCTTGGGGTTTTTCCTAACCCAAGTCCTCAGCTACAT